AATTTTTTTTTTTTTTTTTTTTTAATGTATCATGATGGCTTAGACTGGGTTAAGACCTGAACAGCACATTTTCCTTTAATGGGACTTTAACCCTTTTTCATTTATAATGCTAAGAGGTGCTATTCATTGCTAGAAAGACCTTAGGGCATCTCTAACTGAACGCAGTTTGTCCATTTGCAGATCCGACGAGCGTCCACCCAAATGACAAATGGAAACATATTTTTGCATTTGACCTCGCCTATAAACAGTGCGACGTCGATATTGACGCCCCACTATCCATCAATAACGCATTTTTTCTGTTAAAAATAAATATAAAGACATATGAGAGAATATACACAATAATATTTGTTTTTGGTGTTAGAAATGGAGTTCGGTTGAAGATGAATTACAATTTGATATGACAATTATTGCATTTTCAAGTGGAAAATAGGTTTTTCGGTTGGGGATGCCCTTATGATATAGATTATGATGCTTAGGTGGTGGGAATTTATGAACTCGATCAAAATCCATGATTTCGCCGCTCTGGTTATCCAGGACTCTACTCCATTTAATCACAGGTGGTATTTAATCCAACCTGACCAAATGATTCTTATTGACATGCAATATATTATTTTGTCAAAGGGAATCTTATAAACGTATGGTGAAATTGTCTAAAAGGACAAATTAAATCGCCTTAGTTAATAAAGGACTGTCATACCATATATATCCTTTGATTCATTATTGAAAGATTTTTTGCCATTGGAGAACTTCCGAGCTTTCACTGTGACTGTAATTTAATTGTGTAATTTTGCGGCAATATAATCTGGTGAGAGGGCCTCAATAACAACATTTTACATATGATGTCATTAGTAATAAAACTACATATTAGATAACACATTTTACATCTTTACTAAAGATAGATTGTTCGAGAATTAATAACAACAATGCTCTCGATAAGACATTTGCTCTTTATGGGCTGAGATTATTATCAAATTTATCACCCTTGATAAATGTTTACGATAGCTGAATGAAATTTTGCTTTAAATTTAGGGTAGTGAATTTCATTCAAATAATTTTTTATATTGAAAAATATTGGATTTTAAAATTTTATTAGAATTTAAGTTCCAAGTGATCAACTTTAAAATTTGGGGGCATTTTAAAAATCATATAGTCCCCTATAATCAACATAATCATCATCAAATTATTTAAAAGTATTATATATTCACTTGAATAATATCATCTATGCCCTCTTACTAAAAGAGGATCATGCTTAAGTATTTACTTTGTGAGCCATGTTATGAGTGGTGAACTTGAGAGTTTGTATTTTTAAATAAATTTCTTTTGTAAAAGGCATTGAAGGTTGAATGCGAATGTAAAACCAAGTATTTCGGGGATCTCATTATCACACATTTATTTGGAAGAATAAGATTTATAGTATTTGAAACTTGTATTTTGAGATGAATTAAGTTTAAATTTATTTCTCATTTTCAACCCTTGCAATATTCGCGGACTTCAAATTTAAAAGTTAAGTAGTTGTTCATTGGTACACTTGTACGTTCTTTTGTGCGCTCGCACAATAGATTTGCATGCTTTCAATATGTTTGCACTATATATTTAGGGGACTTATGGACAAGATTTGTTTCGATGATTCGATGAGCTCTACGTATTATCAAAATGTTTGTGCAACCCGTGACGTGTAATAGTGCACTGCTTTGTCTCATTTGAAAATATTAGTTCACATGGTACATTATTTGGTCACGGGGTGTATTATATATTCACAAGAAGTGTATGAACTTCCTTTTTAGTAATTAATGTGTGCGTCATTTAGAGCACTCGTACACTCTCGTGATGTGCAGCGGGTTTGATCATTTGGTCGTGTTTGAGAACCATCTATGTCACTGCAACTATTTGATGTGTATAAGGGTCTAATGTAACAGTTGATCACCTGAGTGCATTGTCTTGAGCATATGCTCATGACTTCACATTTTAATTTCAACATTGCTCTCATTTTGTTCCATAATGTATGTCTTATTTGAATCCCCTGTCGATGTAAATATTGGTAGCATCCATCATCTTCCCAAGGTAATAGATGTCATAAGAAGTGATATTCCCAACTCACAAGAAAAGCGTATATGATTGATGTCCAATGACATCATAGATAGAAGTTTTTTATCCCACCATTTCAACAAAGACGTGCATGCATCATGTACATCATTAGAACTCATAATGTTTCCTCATTGTGTAAAAAAAAAAAAAAAAATGCACGCAAGTACTTAAATTTTCTTGCCATGCAAAATATAACGTGCATGTGGCTTACCTGATGCATCAGAAAGTCAAGTTTTTCCCATCTCGCTAAGAAATATGCAGGCTGATTCAGCTCGTGCCAAATGCGTCGCATTTAAGATTTTAAGAGTTAAGTGTTTGAGAGCTTATACCTTCGTAGTGAAGTAGTGACAAAAACGACAATGAGAGGAATCGCATGCGAAGTAGTGACGAGATGACGATGACAAGGCAAGTATTATATATATATAATCTTCCCCTCCCTCTTCTTGAAATAAAAAAGGATGAAAGAGACACAGATAGAGATAGAAAGTGGAGAGTTAGAGAGAGAATGGAAAAGAGAGGAGTTTGGAGGGGGAGAGAGAATTCTCTCTTCATTTAGAGAGAGAAAGAGAAAGGGTGAAGGGGTAGAGCGAGTGAAGGAGGTTATAGTGTAGCTGCAGGTGATTCACCGCCGACCTCAACTGTGACGTGGCTAGGTCAATTTTGAGTGTAGAGGTGTCGGAGGTGAGCTCAGGCGGTGATGGATGTGGTTTGGGATTGCCGGTAGCAATTGGTTGTTAAGTAGGCTAGCGGCGTTATGGGGAGGAGGAGGTTGTGGTCGGCTTAATGTGGGAGAGAAGAAAGTAGAGAGAGGGGGTCCACGGACTAGGAGGATAGAGGAAAGCTGGTTGATAGAGGAGCTGCATGTGGTTCGACTTCTGAGGCTGGGAGAGGGCTAAGAGCTGGAGAATGGTCGTGCAGTTTGCCTGGCTGAGGCAAAATTATTACAAGCAATCACTAAAAGCTATCCGTAGGTCAATCAGGACGCATCACGTCACCAAAATGCTGTTTACTATTTTTGCAAACCGTTGTGTATCATGTGACGTGTCACATCCTGATTGGCCTTCGAACGGTCTGATGATCGCACATAATAATCTCTTAGATGTCGACGCTATCCGTTTTATTAATGAACTTTGTTTGGATAAAAATAGTATTGCGCCTTTCTATCTTTTTTTTTTTGCAGTGTGATTGTGTTGATCTTGTAAAGATTATCAAGGTCAACATTGTTATAGAATCTCAACAATAATATCAAGGGATTTTTATATACATAACACATAAAATTATTGAAAATACATATTTAAGACAAACTTCTATATTTACTAATATGCCTCCTTAGACTCATTTAATCAATTCTAACATTCGGTTTAAACCTTTAGTCAAAAATCACAATCAATGATTGTCTTCCCAATCAATGGCATCCTTTCAAAGTGAATATAAGTATATCATCACTTCAATAGAGTGGTAGAATAAAAAAAAGGAGATTTTATGTGGTATATTAGTAAATATAGAAATTTAGATGTTAAATATATATTTTCAATAATTATGTAAAAATCCCTAATATAAAAATTATTTAAGAGAGAAGATGAGATACTTTGCTCCAAACAATAAAGTTGTTCTATGATAAATAAAATATACATATTTTAATATTTTAAATATTAATGCTCCCTATTTTAAAATATACATATTCTATGATAAATTCAAGATGTATACTAATCATTCAAATTATCACCTTTCAAATAAGTTATATCCTAAAAACTTTACAAATAAAAAAATTACACTTGAAAAATTCACTTCAAGCATTTTAAATAGAAATTCATTAAAATAAAATTCTCAAAATGTCTTATATATGTCAAATATTGGCAAGGACAAGAAAATTAATTATAATTTTCATTGCTGATTAATTATTTTGGTTGATCTTAACTTTGCATTATACCCTTGCGTTATATTATAAATGCAGACTTAGTTTTTCAACTAAATAGTTAACACAGATAATCTTTACATTTATCAAATTATAGGGCTCATGATCAATCTTTCACTGCATGCCACACATGTCATGTCATTTGTAGCATAATAATCATTTATGTCATACTATTTATATGGCTTCATCATAAAATCAAAAGCATATCATGCACATATTTATATGGAGAATCAACATATGATATCACATGGTATGTTTCTTGTCATGTGACATGCAAAATATGTAGGATTGATTTCATGTTCATCATCATAAAACATATGGGATGCATATAAGTACCAATGGAATGAACATATGATGATATGTATGCTAAGTTAAATATAAAACAACATAGGATATGATATGTATGTTATGTTATATACATAAAACATCATGAGGCATGATCAAATCATACCTTCATGCAACATATTAAAAGAATGAAAATATAGAGCATCATCATCAAAACACATGAATCAAATGCATTATGAAAAAAAAAAAAATTATCTATGAAAACCATCATAAACTTATTAGAAATACTTTGGATAGATAAATTCATCAAACAAGTGAAATCACATGCTAGAGAGAAATATCATCACCTCTCATGGAAGGAAAATGTCATATAGCTTGGTAGGAGTGAAAATGCTATACAAATCTACCTCCAAAGGTAAAAGGCCAAGGAACAAGAGGTTGTATGCAAGTATACTAAAACTTTTGGGCTGAGACAATAAATCTACCTCCAAACCCAATAAATCTTCATAAATATAATTCTAATGATTTCAACAACTTTTGAGATGTTGAAAAAAAAAACATTAGAAGTAAAAAAAATTGTTTTTAATGAAACTATAATGTATAAGGTATGTTAAATAACATTGGATGACAAACCTCCACTGCAAAACAAACTAAACTAGATTTGCCGAATAATTTTGACAAGAGATAGGAGACACAACAAAACAAACAAAATCAATTTTCGTCCAACACTCTTATAACCAAAGTTAAGAGATCATAAAATGTCCAAAGCATTTCAATCATTATTTTCACTTATACTAGATACTACCTACTAATGCAGAAGAATCTCAATGCTACAAAGACTTTATACACGAAGGATTTAGCTAATTGGAAGTTATAAATAAAGAAAATGATATATTCTTTCTATAAAAATAACAAAAGGATGGTCACGGCGAGACGAGCCGTTTATCATTACGATAGGTGTCAAGTGGAAGTGCAGTGATGTATGCAGCTGAGGCATCCTAACAGACCGAGAGATTTGAACCTTGTTCCTACACGACCTGATCAATTCGATCAGGCACTCGCCATCTATTTTCATTGTTCAACTGTTTGACAACATGAAAAACCCAAGAGCTTTGTCCTTCCATCTGATAGAGAGGAAGGTAAGAGGCCTTTGGCGTCCCTTCCAGTCAAGAATCGGGGCTTCACAATGATCGGGCTATATAAAGAAAAAAATTTCAATGCAAAATAAATGGATCAGCAAAATTAAGGAGCAAGAAGGAAAAGGTATAAGGAAAGTGAAAGGCTTCCAATAGAAGATAGGTATTAACTTCATTGAAATTGTCTCCCCTACAACAAATGTAGTATTGTTGAGCATTGTAGCTATAGAAAACTTATACCTAGAGTAGATGAATCTTATGATTGCTTCCCTCTGAGGCAATCTAAAGGAAGACGTTTATATGGTTCACTATGAGGTTTCATTTTACCAAAAAAAGAAAAAAAGGCCTTATCCACAAGCTCAACAAAAGTTTTTACAGCATTAACTAAGCCCCTCGTCAATTGTATAAGAAATTTTATAAATTCATGTACAAATTGATTTTTGCAGATGTAATATTGGTCAATGTAGCTAATGTAAAAAGAATATATTTTAGTATTTTATTTTTATATACATATGACATGTTCATTGCAAGTATTGATATAATAAATAAAAAAATCAATGATATAAAAAACAGTTGTTAAAAGAATTTAATATGAAGAATTTGGTGGAAGCCAAAAAGATTATAGGGATAAATAATAGAACGATATAAAGTTTAAAGACAAGAAAATGCTATACACTTCTAAGAAATAAATTGTTATTCATTTAACAAAGAGGTTTATCTTCCACTACAGAACAAAACACATACAGCTACAGACAACTACATCAGCAACTAGCTAGAAGTATATAACTAATCAAAAGTAAAGGGATAGAAAATCTTGTAGACATACGCACAAAAAAACATTTTAGTAAAAAAACTAAGGCTTTACAAGAGCTCAATTAGCCTCCATGAATGAAAAGAGGAAGTCATTGTAGAAAGAGGTATTTAAACACTAAACAGTAAGGTACACTAAAAATTCTATCTCAAAATGACAGATTTTTAACATGATGAAGCTAAATTTTCATTCAGCTTTACCCCTTAAATACAAAAAGTAATCCTCTCAATTCTCATAATTATAAATCCTTTATTGAAGATTTGATCTAGTTTATTGATGAAATGTGATACTACGAACTGAGAGATTTTAAAGCACTTAAAGATGCCCAGGTTATATTTCCAAATCTATGCAATTACTCCTTTATAAATACCTCCATTTGGTTTCCCCTTAGCACCCTTAGACAGAGAGAAAGCAAGGTAGGAGAGGCTCCATGGAAAGAATACCAAGATGGAGAGCAGACGATGTCGGACATCTACAGTTGGTCAGGTGTTCATCTACTCAGTCAACAAGCATCTTGTGTGACTGCATTCAGTTACTGTAGTGAGTGAGAAGGAGATTGTGGGTTTGAAACGTCCAGTACAGATCCTCTTTGACTTTCTCGACAAGTGTAATAGAACTTAATCAAATTTAGAAAGAAAAAAAAATCCACCAAGATTTCCTTACTGCAATTCAATGATAACCATAACCAATTACATGCTTCAACATTACAAAAAGGATCAAGGCAGAAGGCAACATACATTAAAATTTGGCAATTATAACACTCAAGTAACAAAAAAGAGACAACACAGAAAATTAAAAAAAATAATAATACTACAATCAAAAGATTATTTGCATCTCTAAATCACTAGAATGAATTGCATTCTAAATTACCAAAGTTTTCTTCCTGCTGCTCATGAAATCTTTCTTGACAAGTTCTTCAATCCACAACCAACGCATTTTAGAATGACAGTGTTTGTTGTCGGCTCTGGCTTTATGACAAATTTAACTCCCAGAAAATCTCTAATGTTTCTAAGTGTTGCAATGCTGTAAGGCGTGAGCTTTCCCACACGAACCTTAGAAACATCAGGCGGGCACAGAGCACAAAGAAGAAATAAGAGACCCTGCACATAACTCAAATATCAATTTAGTTGAATTTTTACATTTCTACATGTTGAATGGACAAATTAATGGAAAACTAAGGTTGCTTAGATTTAATGAATTAAATGAAACTAGGTAATATGTAGTTTGACTATGAATGTAAACACATCAACTCAAGCTTTAAAATTCCTCTTTTTAACTTCTTTGAATTCAATTTCAACAATCCAAACCGTATCTATGGAAATGACAAACAACTATATAACTACGAAATTCAGCACGATGTGAAGTCCTAAGATTAAATGCAATTACTAGATCTTTGGTAAACTAAATAACTTGGGACCAAACCATAGTACTTATCAAATCAAAAAGCCTTTTTGAGGATAACTAAATTTAAATATTGAAGCCTTACATGATAGTCTGTCACAATTAAAATTCATTTTTATAATTTTATTCAACAAAAGTAAAATGCTTCTATGAGATTCATATGATTATGAACCGCATTATCAACCCCTAGATTTAATTACGCTGACTGACGTGCTTATTGCTAATATAATAAATACATTGATAAAGTTTTTTCATAATGAGATAAAGCGAGCTAAGGGAAATTTTACCTGAATATATTACTAAAAAATTAGGGACAAAGAAAAGGTGGCAAAAATACGCTGTTATAAGAGGATATCTTGGCGTATAGCAGAATAATTTAAAAAAAGCACTCACTAATGCTTCATGGATCTGATGGGCAAGAACGCACAACAAGAGAGTTAAACTTAACTCGAAAAAAGCAAGTGAAAAATGCATCAATAGCAAAACTAGCACACTTGTGCAAAATTAATGTAATTGAGAAAGTGGCTTCTGCAGATATTGTAGTGAAAAAAAATAATGAAACTGGCTGAGTATGAATAATCGAGAGTAAATAAGTGTCAAATGGCAGAGCCCAAATTAGCAGGAAGAGGTTAAGAGGAAAATGGTACACTGGTGCTAACACGACTAAAAATTTTTATCTAATGTCTTTTCCAAAGAAGAACTACCTAAACTCAAAACAATAACAAATTGTTTTGATGCATCTTAAAATAGAGCCAAAAAATCAGGGCAACGACTAACAAGAAAAAAGGGAGACTAAAGGCATAACACTCATAACTTACCTATTTACAAAACTCTTTTTTTTTTTTTTGAACTATTACAAATATATTTGCACGTGCCATGATCAAATAATTAGGAATTTGACTAAATTAAAAAAAATAAATACATACTACAAATTTGTTGTGATTTTTGATATTTATGTGAGAATTTGCAAAATGGATGTAACAGGGTGTTAAATTTATAAATAGCCAAGTTCTAAATGCTTTGCATGAAATTGCCACTTAAAAATATTGTTCTGGTCACCATCCCATTCTATTTACTAACTGAGTATTTTTAAACTAATATCTAAAATTTTAAAATGGAAGCCTTGTATTTGCAGCGTGAGAAACATGTTTCAATAAATACCTGGTGTGATGAATCAACCACACCACCGCCCTCAATCTCCCCAAGCAACATAGAAGCAACTTGAATGCCGACATCCTCAGGAGACATCAGCTCTGGCTTCTCTTCAAAATTCATTAAAGCATCTACTTCAGTTTTTGGATGGCTAACTGCCATGTCTGCTGAAATCAAGCAACCTGTTGTGGTTTCAGCAACCAGAGAAATGCCATAACCAGGTGATCTGAAAAATTAACAAGTAAATTGTTTCTCAAGGGTGCACATCCAAGTAAAATTGCCATTAAAGTTTTAGGCACTTCATGAAATTCATTAAGTGGTCTCATAAGAGATTTATTTATTAACAGTTGGTGAGTCAATAAACCGTCCAACAACAAATAATTAGGACTTAGGCCTAATCATAGTGAGAAAAAAAATATAAATGCAAAATATCCCGGTTCTCCACATTTGTTCAGAAGATTAGGAAAAATTTGCATTTTTATAAGCTAAAGCATTATATGAAAAATACATATAATTCACGTGTATAATTATGAAATAAAAGTTACTAATTGTACTGACCCACAAATAGTGATCTTAATCCTTGATTATCTCGTGGCTGTAGAAAGTACTAAATAAAAATAATCTAACTTTTCTCCAATCTTGCTAGTCAGCACTCACGCTCTAATTCACCTATATTAGTTATCTTTCACCCTCCCTCATGTCTATTTTGTTGTCACATTGTTTGTTTTTGTGTTGTAAAGGGCGCATCCATTTGTGCAATTTTAGAAGTCACAAGCCTCTGTTAGCTTCTTCCTTGTCGCCCACATTTCTTGTCCTTTACGCGCACACCCTCTGGAACAGTTGACCCAACGTAGTGGGATAAAGGCTCGATGTTGTTGTTGTCGTTGTTGTTGAGCCAAGGATGGCACACCCTCTAGAACATTTGACCATCAAAATGTCTGGTGTCAATCCAACCATATAAAGTCTTCTAGTCCTCTAATATGTTTTTTTCAATGAAAGTGAAACTAGTGTTTATGCTGAGTTTTCTTTGCTTTGATTTGGGTTCAACATGATAGCCCCTAGTAAGCTGCAACGTGATGTATTGGAATATGATAATTTGGCATGATTGAATAAGAGGAATGACTGAATGTTCATGTGATTGTACATTAGAAACTTAAAAATTTTAAATGGAAAAATACTAATTTAGAACATGCATGCTTTCTTGAAGATTGCGTAACAAATACCAATCAAGCTTTGCTGATTTCAAGATAGGTTTTCAGATTTTTCCCTTTTTGATAGCTCTTATAATGGCAAGGTTTCTAAATAAGCAGCCACTTACTAACATTAGCATGAATGCGAGAACACTGACGACCTCTACTCATCCTATTTAGTGGAGATTGCCTTCATCTTAGGACATTTGATTTACTAATTTTATCAAGATGTGCACAAAATTAAAAACATATGGTCTATCAAATTATCTTCTTGTATTAAAATTGCTTTAAATGTTCATTGCAAACTCTATTATTTCAATTGGATCTTGTTTTGAATTTTCACCTCTTTAAAGTCCTATAAATAGGACAAGGAAGATAGGTATGACGAGTTTGCATGTACTTGAAAACTACCTACTGTTGATACATAGAAAAAGGGAAAGGGCAAGAGGGAGAATAGGCTTTATTTAAGAGAATCCAAGTAGAGATCATTTGGTATGATTTAAATATATATGTCTACTATTTCTCTAGTTTGATTCTAATATTCTTACAAGATATTAAGAGGTTTTCAATTTTGCTTTTCAAATTTGTTTCGGTTGAAAGTTTGGGGCTTCTTTTTGTAAGTGATGTTGGGTGTAGCTAGATTAGAAAAGAGCATTTATTGTGCCTTTTTTTGGCATAACTATGTAGTTTCTATGTAATGAAACTGTTCTTCTCTTCTCTTGTTGATGCAGGCTATTATTTTGGTTGAACCACATAGATCTTACTGTGTTCTTATGGTGCTTGATTTCTTTGTTGTTATTTTGTGCTCATCATAATAACTCTTGATAAGCACTTCCGCATTAAAAATATATCTCCCTACAAATAGTATCGAAGATACAAATTATGATGGCGATGAAGCATGGGATCAAGAAATTTGCAAGCTAAAAATTTTGCAATTTAGAGAACCAAACTGCGGGAAAGACATGTTTAACTTTGGTCTAGGTCTTCAACGTATTTTTCATTTCCTATCACTCAAACTAAACTATCACGTTTTAACAAAGATACGAATTTTTAAAATCCTTTAAACTAATTCTATCTCTACCATGCATACTATGTCATGAAAATGCTTATTTAAGTGAAGTAAAGATTACAAGACTAACAAATCTTGAACAGCATTATTAACCATCACATCTATAGTTATCAAACCCCTAGTAATAGAATTAAACTTATTGAGATGTATTTAATTGTGTATCTTCTTGCCTATATAAGAAATACAGCCTCTATTTTTGATACAATTTGTTAGAGAAAATTTTATTCATTTGTAAGAGTACTTGCATACAATCCATCGACGGTCCCCTGAGACATTTACAAAGATCTCATCCACCGAATAAAATGGAATCCCCGAGTGAGCTTTTTCATCTATCTCCTAATTATTTTTTTTAAATCATAATCCTCAACATATTTGCATGCCCCATGAGTGCATTCACAAGCATATAGGAAATATATTATTATTATTATTATTATTATTATTATTATTATTATTATTATATAAGCAATTAGTATTAAAAAATAAATTAATAACTTGAAATTTTCAAAGATGAAAAGAAAAAAAAAATCAAATCCATAGGTATGCCATATTTAGGTATTTTATGATATCATTATTTTTAGTTTGAATTTTAAAGGAGAATAATGTATAGAATTTATGTCTAAGCATCATTCGCCTAAAATCTTTTTCTTAACCATGTTTTTGGCCTGAATATTTAGAGAATAAGCTACATTATACATGTTCGCATTGTAGTTTGCATTATAATGGTACACTAGTTTACTAAGGTAACAACATGGAACAAAAATTTGCTTCACATAAAATAAAAGAAAAAAATCACCTTTTAGATAATAGTAACTTCTTCAATAGAAAAGGACATGGATCTATAAATATAAGAATAATTTGTGAATTGAGATATTTTTTAATACAAAAATACCTACCTTCCACTAGATTGGCCAGATCTATGATCTGTAAATATATGAACATCCGGAAGAAATTGATTAAAGACCCCACGAGCAGCAAACACCATGCGATTTCCAAACTGAGGTGATACCCTAGTTGAGAAAGTCACTCCTCTAATTCTCTTGACCATTCCTTCATCTATCCATGTTGTAGCCTGCTTAAGCATTTAAAGTACGTGTTAGACTTATCCAAGTCTACAGAGATATTTGTATGTGTGAGGGTATTGATAAAGACTCCCTCCATCCATGTAATAAACTACATAAATATTTGGGACTTATAACAAGTTCAGTGAGCATGCATATTTCTGTGAATAAATACAATTGAGAGTAAAAGGAAGTGTGTGTGAGAGAAATTTATAGAGAGATAGAGAGAGTGAAAGAGCTTCTCTCATATAATTGTTAATACTAACACATAAGCTACTAGGCACAATAGGAACAACAAGAACAACTTCTCCACCACCAAGAGGAGCGGCCCCTCGGCTTTCGATTTTTAACTCCAAACCATCTAAAGAGACACCAAAATGCTTTAGTATATGCAACGTAGTTGTCCGAAAAGTATCTACGCTTGGATCCTTAGAATCATTGGTTATCCCTGCAAAATAAGCAGATTATTCTTTTAAGTAGAAATAAAAAGACAATCAAAATTTTCTTCACTTACACTAAGTAATGCTTCCAGGAAATTGGAAATTACATAAACAACAATTCTTTAGTGACTGAAATCAATAGGCCCGGCGTTACAATGTTTTTTTTACAGTAAAAGTGGAGTGTTTAATGAAATAAGAAAACCAATTGGCAATTAAAATTAGGTGCTCATACGATTTTTTTCTTTATCATTGGCAAGCATTTTAATTAATCCACAATTGGGAAGTTTAACAGGGTTTCTTGCTAAACCATAAATAGCATAAAGAGAATCTTATATTGCAACAAAGATACATCAAGCATGCAGTCATATCATTCCTACAGCACTTCAAATCAAAGCAATAATTGGAATATAATCGAACAGAGTATGGAAGAAGTGCGGGTTTTTTAGAGTGGATGAAAGAAGCTGCCTCGCCAAGCACAGAAAAAAGCAATTCTTACACTAAATGACTAGCATTATATAATAGGGACAAGAAAGAAGGTGCTAACAATGCTCATTCAACAAGATGTATAAGGGTTCCTACCTCACAAGCAAAAAATCTTCTTGTTTAAATTTCGCAATGCTTGTACATTCAAATCAAACACGATTAAAAATTGAACAGAAATGTTTAAAGGAAAAGATCAAACCTTTGAGCCTGATAGAGAGAGACCTCTTTCCGAAAAGTCCAAGCACAATCAAGGGTTCCAAAAAGTAACCAACTGACCTGCTGAGGCCGCAGTCATGCACGACGTTTTTCCCTCCAATCAAAACCCCCGGTTTGTACCTCAATTTAGTTCCTAAAACGACCAAAATCACAAACAAAGTTTCATAAACAAAGTCAAAAGTCAAAATCCTCACAAGAGACAGAAAATAGTGCAGAGAGAAGCGCCACAGACCTGTATCATTGATCTCGACGGTACAGTCATCGGAAATCTTCTCAAGGAGCCGCAAGAGGGAGACTTCATAGGGACGGAGGCCCGGGGACGCAGATTCAGATCGGATATCCTCCACGAGTATCGATGTCGACGATAGGGTCGACAGTAGAAGGCGCTGCCGGAAATATTGGCTGCCTCGCAGCTTCATATACGAAGTCTTCATCTCCGACGAGGGCCTAATATCGAACAGACTCCTTGAAGATGATTCACACAAGAGAACGCCCGCGAGAACTGCGTCGACTGCTAAACCTCGCAGTCCGATGCAAACGCTGATTAGGGTTTTCGTTGAAACATCAAAGATAGGTCAGTATCAGGTCAAACCCATAACCCGATATAAACCTTGTAATCATACGGTTAAGCCCTTTATTAATTTCAAAACAATACCAAAGTTGGTTTTCGAGACAACTTTTTACTATTTTTTAAATCAGTTTTTAACTTAAAAAATTTTTAATAACTGTTGCAGGCTAGAATATAGGCGGCGATAGAGTTAGAATTTTTCGTCTAAGCGTTGTACGGATATCCAGCACATAAACAGAAAAGATATAAAACACAAGAATTTTTACGTGGAAAGCCCAAAAAAGGAAAAAAAACCACGGGATTAGACTCAGTTGAAAGAATTCTACTAGTATTTTGTTTGAGTTACAAGAGGCTGGCTCGTCCTTAAAATTTAGGACGATCATATTACAATAATCAATTCTCGGATTGAAATTCAATTGCACACGGATATCAAAATGCTGGTATCAGAAAACTGATGTCCATTGTTTGTTGAAGAGAGCTCTAATGTTACTTGGAGGTCGGACGAAACTCCAACGTCATTTGAAAGTTGGATGGAACTCCAGCATCACTTGAAAGTCGGATGGAACTCCGGCGGTGGTCGAGGAGGAGCTTCTTCCCTCATTCTCTTCTTCTCTTCTCTTATTCTTCTTCTTACTTGGGTCCCCTCTTAAGAGAAATGAGTGGCTATTTATGATTTTTTGAGGATGGCATAACTCGTAAATAGGAGGATCAAGGTCAAATTGTGAGTGGTTTGGATGGACGGCCGATATTAAATCTCTTGATCATGGACCATTTGTCAGACATTTGAAGTTCTTAATGATAGCAGAGTTCGACGATCTTGCGCTCGTTGGATTCGTCTCGTTGAGCCGCTCGATTCGACTATAAACATGTCATGTTTTGAAACTGTTTGGTAATAAAAATTGTGGTTTGACCTTCAAACAGTGAACCAGGTCTTCGATTAGAACCCATTTGGGCTCGGATTGAGTTGAATTTGGTGTTGTTGGGTTCATATTTCTGAGACGCTCAATTCAACTATAAGTTTGCTAAAATCGGAGTTCAAATTATCCCAAATTTAATTTTTGAAGTTTGCAACTTGATTTTGCGTCGAGATTTGTGCCTGGTCAAGATAATTTTTTGATGATATATCAATAATAAATGTTTCGTTTGGGATGACTTTTTTATTACTTTTTAATATATTTTTTAATACATAAGTTTCTTAAATTAAAAATCTTTATATTAAAAAGCTGTTTTAAAAAACAGTAAGAAAACCGTTTCAAACAAAACTTAAGTCAAATATAATTTGAGATTATCCAAAATAATTATTTATATAAATTATATAATTTAGACTTTTTAAATTAATTAAAAAAAAAACTTCTTTTCTTGGGGCAACCAATTACCAATCTACCAGAGAAGTGGCCCGAAGCAAACGATTGCAATCTTAGAATTTATCCTCGTCAGGAGCAGGGGCAGAACCATTCTTAATTTCCAGAAGGGGCAAACTTATAAGTAACAGTCTGTGTTGCATCTAATTTGACTCGATCATTCACTACAAGAAAATGGGTCAATAACTACAAAAAAAAAAAAGTCGCTAAATATATCTTTTAGCTACCAAAAGTAACTAAGGATTCTAAATAAAAAGGAAAGTTGATATTTGCTCATATCCTAGATCATCGTATGCTTCGCAGATATGTCGGAGGCCTGGGGGGGCAATTGGCCCTCTTGAGCGCAATGGGGATTCGACCTTGGTCGGGCTACTGCGATCACTGAAGTCAATCCTGACAACTAGTCAAGGGGATGACTTCCTTTATATGACAAACTATTGATATGAGGCTATTCGTTTTTTCGACCATCCATATACAACAAGTTGATGACTTTTTGGGAACTTAGTGGCAACTTCATCAAGTCGGAGATTCATACTGGACTATTTATTTTAATTAGTTTAGATCAATTAATACAAATTAATATGCACATCATCTATGTAAGACTTAAATTTAAAATCTCTTAAATTGATAATAAAATATTTCAATCAATAGATCAAAATAAACTACATAAGTGAATGAGAGTCACCATCAATGATCCGCTAGCTCCACCATTGGATCAAGGAGAGACCACAAAAGTCTCTTTATTCTAGGCTGGACCAACCTGATTCAAAATTGACTAAATGAGTGAGATCCCTGACACAATAACATGGCTTCATGTTCCCCAGCCAGCCTTTCCCCTTTTTTCTGCCTTTTGGTTTGGTATCCAAGGACAAGTAAGATATACCCCCACAACCTTTTTAAATGGAAATCTGCGCCCTTTTAGAAACTTTTTAATGGTTCTGATTTGATCACTCTTCTGTTAACGGATGGATGAAAGCTATTTAAGCTGCTCTGGCAGTCAACTTGCACCCGCTAATTTGCTAATTAGTGGTCCTAATAAGGGCATTACAGTCGATTAACTAAAAAAATCTAAGTACTGTTCAATTTTGGCTCTCTCATCCTTCTTGGGATCTGTTTGGAACAAATTTTTTGGTTTCTTTTTTTCTTCAGACGGCAATCACATTTCATTTTATTATTATTTTCTTACTACTTTTCTTAAATTTTTGTGATGAAAAATTATTTTATGCAATCATAACAGTGAAATTATTTCCACAATAAATTTTATAAAATGCTAAAGATAAACTCTTAGGCTTCCTTTGGGACGGCTTTCTTACTGCTTCTTAAAACAACGTTCTCGTACAAAAGTTAAGAAGCAATAAACAAAACCGTCTCAAACGAAATCTTAAGCTTCGTTTGGGCAGCTTTCGTATTGCTTCATAAAACAATTTTTTAGTATAATTTTTTAATTAAAAAATTTTTTGTACTAAAAAATGATTTTAGAAAAAAAAAATTGTTCCAAACGAAATCTTAGGCTTCGTTTGGGGCGGCTTTCTTACTGTTTCTTAAAGCAGCTTTTTAATACAAAAAATATAATTTTTTAACTAAAAATCTGTTTTTAGAAGCAGTAAAAAAATCGTCCCAAACGAAACCTTATTAATCTTCTTTTAGAACGGCTTTCTTTCTGAAAACTCTTTTTCACCTCACAAAATCATGCCTTCTTAGCTCTTGTTCTCTTTCTCTCTTTCTTGTATGATTCTTCAAAATTGAAATACGTACACGTAATAATATCTCAAAATTATAAAATTAGGAAACTGTGTGCTCAATCATTTCGTGAAATTATTAGATATGAATAAATATACAATTTTATATGTGAACTATTTAAATATATATAATTGTACATTCGCTATGTTTTATATATTTTTGCAGTACGCAGACAGAGCATATACTGTGAAATATATAATTATATACTTAATACATAAGGAGCTTTGGCTCTCTCATTACAACTAAGAATTAGGTGGTGGTATTTATATATATACGAATATTGTAATTAAATTTATTAAGAAAATTTTGTAGGTCGCACACATACTTGCATATTATTTTAGAGTTTGTGACAATAATTTATTTATTTTTGGCTGAAAAGCTCATAGTGTAACATAGAGGTGTAAGTGAGCCGAGCCAGCTCGTGAGTGGGCTCGAACTCGACTCATTAACGAGCTCGCGAGTTGAGCTTATCGAGCTTTAAGTCGAGCTCAATCTTGGTATTTTGAAATTGATGAAACTATCAAAATTATGATAGAGTTTTAAAATTTTTGATCAAACCCAACCGCTGATCCACAAAAAATACTAATGTCAAATATAATAATGAATTGAAAGCTAAAATTTTAGATATTTGGCTACCTTGCAATATAATTATTGAAGCAACAATATCCACAATTTTAAAATTTATCAACCCCAACCGCTGCTGTTTTTTAAAACAATTTTTTAGTACAAAATTTTATACTAAAAATTTATTTTAAAAAGCAATATAAAAATTATCCCAAACGAAACCTTAAACAAAATAATTCACAATAATATCACCATACATGATGTAACTCCAGTAGATAAAAATTTCAATAGGTACAAAACAGTGGACCCTACGTACACATACGATATCTGAACTCATGACATTTAGACAACGACTCTCAGAGGTGCTCCACATTAATGAACAGAGAATTTAAATTAATGAAAGATGTAACGTATTAATGTGATAGAATTAATCAAATTTATGAGGATAGTTAATGATATTAAAGGAAGTTGGAGATCTATTGTTCAGGAAGATAAGGCTAATTATGAAAAAAAAAATTATGACAGGGTGTTATAATAAAAATTTTATGAGGATAAATTTTATTATTAATAAATCTACAATGAGATAAGTATAACTTTTTTATTAGTGTGAGCGTTAAGAATTTGATTAATTAGGATTCTCTAATTTATTTCCAGCTAGTTTACCATGAGTTCAAGCATATTTTTTTTAATATTATATGTAATCTGGTAATAGCTATAATTGCCTCATACGTCATCAAAAATCAATTTGGTCATGCACAAATCTTGATGCATATTTGAATTAGAAACTTCTCAAATTAAATTCGAGACAATCCAAACTCTAATTCTAACAAAGTTATATAGGAATTGAGCTCCTCAACAAGTCTGTATTTTTTCCTTTTTTGAATTTTTTTGCGTAAAAATATGATAAATTTTATGAGTCTTTCACTCCTTTTATCTATATGCATGTTAGAAATTCATACAAAATTAAAACGTTTAACTCTCTATCTCTCTATCGTCTTGAACATTCTAGCACTCAACATTGCCAAAATATAAATTAGAAGTAGGAAGGATGAAGAGTTTTAAGGGTAGTGTGTGTGTTTGAGAGAGAGAGAGAGAGAGAGAGAGAGAGAGAGAGAAATTAGGAGCTTTCATAGAAAAAAATAAATATGTGAAACACATTAAGATCATCTCTATTTAATATGATTTAGAAACAAAGACATATGTGGGGCACTAACCCTCATATATAGGTATAATCCTCGTCAATCCATCATTAATTACGCTTAACTATCAGGCTTATTGATCGAGTAAATTATTGCAAGAGTATCACAAAAATGCCATATCGCACAAGACTTGCTAACAAAACCAATCACTTTCAAGTTTAAATTTAGCAAAATTTGAGTTCTTTTACATTTCTCAAAACATCTCACCATATTACTGATGGTGTGCTAGAAGATTTATGACTATAATTAAGGAGTAGGCATTTAACATTTTTATTTTATATGAATATATAGCGCATACATAGATAAAATAAGAATGCAAAAGGACACTAGAATTTTTATGTGAGAAACTATGAAGAGAAAAATCACAGTGCATGATTCACTTGAAATTATTACACCAACATATTTTGTCGGTTATAACTTGTGTCCTCTATAAAAAGACATTAACTGTTGAAGATGAATTCTACAATGAATGTTGGAATACCCTTGTGACATTAGAGTAGCGTTTAAGAATTTATTTATTGTTTATTTAATCTCTCCCTTAAGGAGATGATATTAGAGACTAAACACTTCATTGTTTGTCATGATATTAACATTGGGAGCATAGTTAGAGGACTGGCATGCATTGGCCTTATGATGATGATAAGCATCAATGTTGACATTAACGACGTACATCAACCTGATAAGCAATGACATACGCTGTTGTTGGTATTGATGACAAGTGAAGAAGGCAACGAGCATCAATCCTTTATGTCAATGGTTTATATACAACTTATATGCAATAGTGAGCATCAACGTTGTTGGTGTTTGAGGGTGATGAAGTCAACAAGCATTTGTGTTAGGTCAATGATTTGCATAAGCTTTATAGGTGGCAACATGCGTCAATATTGGTGTTAGGTAGTTGGTAATGTTGGTGGTCCACGAGATCGTAGTTAGGCAATGATGGTTGGAGGACTGTAGTTAGGTAACATTGATTTGATGATGGTATTCTAGTGATGGTGGTTAAAGGATCTTAGTTGTGCAATGGTGGTTAAAGGACTGTATTTGGGCTATGATGGTTGCAAGGCTATAGTTGAGTGAAGGTGGCCGGGAGACTGTAGTTAAGTGACAGTGGTTGGGAGAAATTAGTCATGTGACGGTGGTCAGGGGATCATAGTTGGGCAATGATAGTTAAGAGATCGCAGTCCAGCGACAACAAAAAAGAGATTGTAGTTAGGTGACGGTGTTTGGGAGACCATAATTATATGATGGTGGTTGAGCGACTATATATGCAATGGTGGTCATGATACCGTAGTAAGATGATAATGTTTGGAACATTTTAGTTGAGTGATGGTGCTTGGGAGATTGTAGGGTGATTAAGGAAGGGGGACCTTAGTCAGTCAATAGTAGTTGGGAGATCATGGTTGGGTAACAATGGTTAGGAGACTATAGCAACAAAATATTGGTCAAAATATCATGGTTGTTTGATGGAAGTTAGGCAAAGGAGATCTAAAAACAATGGTCGGACGACAATTGTTGGGCAACAACAATTCTACAATGATGGCCAGGGGCAGCTGTTGGGCGACAATGATTCGAAGATAGTTGTTAGATATTAGTAGTCTGATGGTTGTACTTGGACAAAGGTTGTCCATCAATAGTGATTGTATAGTGGTGGTATGGTGATTGAGGTTGAATGATGGCGGTGGTCGAATGGTAACACTCAATGAAGGTGGAGCTCTAGAATCCTTTGAATCGTTGAACTCTCTTTGACCTCCAATTCCAATCTAGTCCGATCTCTTGCTTATGTAAGAAATTAGTCTATTTATAATTTCTGGATAGGGACATCTTAGGAAATCAAATTAAAATCCCAAAGCTCCATCGAATGTTTGCATTTACCCACTTGATTGCATACCTTTCTTTCAATATTTATATATCTAAATGATATTAGAATTAAGCAATCTTAAGTTAGATTTTTCTTATTAACATTTGCTTATAAACATACAAAATTTGAAGATCATTTCATCATCTAATTAGTATCATGAAGTTTCTAATTATGCCCTAAGTGCTTGATATGAGTTCATTAGACGCGAATCATATGACTTTGAGTATCATTAGATTTGTCTCATTGAGACTTTCGTATTCACTAAAAAAAGGCACTGGATACTAGCATTGGTGATAATAAACATCGAGATTGGCATTGACTTTAGAAATTAGTTGAAATATGTTGCAACCAAGGCAGAAATCACTCGAATAATAAGAAAAAGAATTATTTTATTATTATTTTATTTATTTATCAAATTTTATTTTATTTTACATATCAAAATAAGATGAAAAATAGAAATAATTTTTTTTTATAAATATGCAAATATAATGAGTAAAATATATAAATTATATTTATTATAATATTGAAATTTAATATATCTTCAATTTTCATATTTGCAAAAATATTCAATTAAAAATTAAATTAATTTAAAATCCTTTCTTTTCTTCATATAACATAACTGTTATAACTAAAATAAAATAAAAATAGAGAAGACATATGAAAGAAAGACTTTAGGTTTCATTTGAATTAACTTTTTTTCTATTTTTTCTTAAAATAAATTTTTAGCATAAAAATTTATTGAATAAAAAATTTATACTTAAAAAATCCTTTAATAATAATAAAAAATTATGTTAAATGAAATCTTAGAGAAGTGCTTGGCTGTCATCTTTGAAATGAGAGCAATCCTGATGACTAATAGCACACCGAAAGACAATATCAAGCGAATATTACGGTCAGACTAATCAATTAAATCTTAACGTGTCCACCTCAACACCTGTGGAAGCATCCCTCGAGGACAAAAGGTGGAAGAAAACAATTTTCCAATAAATGAACCTTTATTAGATGCTATAAGCTATAGACTATAATGCATCATAGTGCACAAATTATGGTTCATTAATATAAAATGTATTATCAAATTGCAACATAAAAATAATATTACATGTACTTTATGATAATACTTAGAGTTTACTTTGGAACAATCTTTTACTACCTTGCATGTTAGGCAGTTATCATAATTTCATTTGATTACTAATTTATTATTACTATTTTTAGAAATTTCTATAATGAAAAGCTATTTTATATAATTGTAATAACTAAGTTTTTCTTTTGGACAATTTTGTCATTGCTTTCTAAAACACCTTTTCAGTACAAAATTCTTTTTAACTAAAACATCATTTTAGAAAACATTAGGAACGCTGTCGCAAACGAACTCTAAGGCTTCTTTTGGAAGAGAAATTATTCTGTGTGGACACCACATGCAACTCTAAGTCCGGATGCCGCTGTACATCGCAGTATCGAGCCGCGGTACATTAAAAGGATGACGTGGTGCATTTTTATTGATATCTGGTTATTGTTCGGTCGTCTGCACAGAATAATTTCTCCTTTTGGAATGACTTTCTTAATGCTCTATAAAGCAGCTTTGTAGTACAAAATATTCCGATTTAAGAACTTTTTGTGCTAGAAAATTACTTTAAAAACAATAAAAAAATCATCACAAATAAAACTTGAGTTATTTTTCTTATAACAACTTCACAAACAACTTTTTAAAATTTTAATTTTTCTTTACCATTTTCTATTCACATTTTCTTTGTATCATACCAATAAATCAACTTAAAAACAATAAATTAAAAAAAAGAAAAAAAAAACTTAAAAACAATAAATTTATATTATTTTTTTCAATATTAAAATAAATTGAATTTATGATTAATTGACTTTAAATTGATATCAGATTTAAAAAAAAGAAAGATTTGATTATGGTTTAAATTAAAAGATAAAATCTGAATGCTTGAGAATATTAATTGATAATATTAACAGATAATATCAGATTTAAAACATAATTTGGTGAAGTTTTGAGTTATTGTTTAATAGTGGAATATGCTATAAATAAAAGTACAAGCATTCATTGGTCAGTTTATCAAATTTTCTAAGTATAATTCTTATTTAATTATCAATTCTAGTTGTTTGATAGATTCTTCTCACTTATGAATTGAAATCAAATAATGGGCCCACAAACATGCCAGGCTGGACAGATCATGGACCTGTATTTGTTTTTTTTCCTTTGAGGTTATAGGCTTTGAATCATAACAACTACTATTTTTTTCTCTCCCACCTCCTGTCTTCTTCCTCTCTTTGCTCACCTCTTTAATTCGCCTACTCTCTCTCTTTCTTCTCTGCTTTGTGGCGGCTTTTCTAGAATCTATGGCCTCTGAGGGTTCGGTTGCAGATCAGAGTATCGATGAGGTATTAATTGCAGTTCAAAGCCCTAAGCTTTCTTTCCCTTTACTTTTATTTTACTACTTTGTTGTTTTCCTTTTGGGGGAATCACCATAATTAGGTGAGGATGAAGCGCTGGCATCGCAATCAGCTGGAAAAATTAGGAAAGATGAAGTTTTTAGTGCTTTTTAGGGTGAAATGAAATGCGGGAGGAAATACTCTACACTGAGTTTTTCTTGTTTTTTTCTGTCTATCTCTGTCTCGCTCCCCACTTTTTTTTTTACTTCTCTGGTAATTTGATAAACATGGCGGTGTCCTATTGACTCTAGAGATATATATTTTTGGCATAGCTTTCATTTCTGATCTCTGTCTCGCTCCCCACTTTTTCTTATTTTTTATATGCTATCATCGTTTAATTAGGACACATGAGGATCCATCACCAAGTTGTTTGGAAAATATTTGGATCGAGATATCCTGTCAAAAATTTAGTTATGATAAGTTTCAAAATTGTTAGATTTGTTTTGAGATGAGTATAATATAGAAATAATAAATCTAAATTATATTATGCTCATCTTAAATGAAATTCTGATCGAATATTGATCAAGATGACGGGATATAGCACCTATGGTTCATGAAAAGATCTAAAAAATTCAATATCAAAGAGAAATCTTGCTTCTATTTAAATAGGGTCTTGGTTTTCAAGGCCTCTTATCTTTTACTTCTGTGATTTAGTTCACAGTTTCAGTTGCAAAATCCTTGGTTTAAAGTAATAATAAATCATGAAATGAAAACTTTTTTTTTTTTTTTTTAAATTTAATGTTTGGTTAGCTTAAAAAGAGTTTCAGTGATCAAATACTGATGAATGTTTAGTATATATTTGATCTTTTTGACATTCAACTCAGATTCCTTGCGCACAATCTTGTTTACTCTCGTAAAACTGATTAGGTAAATTATTAATATAAATGGTTTTTTTTTTTAATTATGCTTCTATATAAACTGAGTGTAAGCCTCCCCAACTCTTCATAAATGTGGCTTTTTTGAAAGGGAAGTATCAGAGCATTTTTTCATGTAGCCTCAACAACTGAATCTAATAGTTTCTTAATTAGGTGGACGGTTACTTTTACGGTTTTATCCAATAACGAGAAACTACAATAGTAAACTGTTGGATCTTGATCTGTTTTTGGTGGCTAGGGGTATAAACGAGTACAGTCGAGCTTGAGTCATGCCTAACTCGAGCTCGACTCGTCAGTTAAATCGCGTGAGTTGAGCTCAGGAGGCGTGGTCAAGCTAAGCTAGTTTTAGTAAAGGCGAGCTCGCAAGCCAACTGCGAGGTTGCTGTGAAAACAAAAAACGGGTGCTGATCTTTGCTGAAGAAGAAGAAGTGGCATTGCTAGCAGCTTTTTCTCTTAAGAAATAGTTGAACGAGGGCCTATTATGAGTAATTAAAGAGTTGCAATTTTTTTCCCTTGGGAAGATGGCTGAAATTTTACATATGTACATTTTAAGAAAAAATTACAGCCTACCACAGTCTAATACAACATACTATAGTTGTATGTTGTTTGTGAAAAAACTGCAGCCTAATACAACTATATCTTCTTGGAAGTTACAACTTTATTTATTATATAATTATTTTTAAATAGTGAAATAATTTTTTTTAAATTATAATAATTATTGCAAGTTGCCCCCTGCCAGGCTTGAACTCGAGCTCGAGGCTCGATAAACTCAGCTTGCGAGCTCGTTATCTAGTCGAGTTCGAGCCAACTTGGCTCATTTACACCCCTAGTGGTGACACTTGAACACTACTTGCAAGGCTCATAAGGCTTAAGCAAAGAAAAGAGTGGTAAGAGAAATAGGGAGAGAGGGTGTGTGTGTGGGGGGGGAGAGAGAGAGAGAGAGAGAGAGAGACAGAGAGAGAGAGAAAAGTTATGAGATTTTATTTCTCACACCAAATGCCCAGTAGCCTAGGTTATTGTATAGCTCCTCCCTTGAAAAAAAATGGCCCTTTGACTCCATTTTTATTCGGTATTAGGCGCTTCAGGAAAAGCTATATATAAAAAAAAAAAATTATATCCAATTACAAGAGAAATATATCGCAAAAGTATGTAGCCAAGAAAATATAATAATACATATGGATAGTCAAAGGCCAAAGTATCCATCTTGATGGTTGAAAATGCTGATTGATTGGGAAAAAATGCCAACTTGTTGGGTGAATTTGTTGATTGGAGAAGTACAGTGCTGATGGATGGCTTTTATCTTAGGTGAGTAAGTCGAGTAGAGCCTTGGGCATGAAATGCTTTGGTGAGGCCATGAGTCTAACGAGTTTATTATGAACCTGACAAGTTCATGGTAAACTTGTAAAGTCCTTGGAGATCCCTATAAAGTCCTGGAGAGTTATTGGGGAGTCCCGAAAAGTCATGGAGAGTCCCTAGAACCCGTTGAGTTTAACATGAGTCTACTGAGTTCATTATGAAATTTACGAGTTCATGCTAAACTTGTAGAGTTCCCAGTGTGTTCTTGGGGAATTCATAGAAAGTCCTGGAGAATCCCTGGTGAGTTACCGGAGAGTTCTTGGAGAGTCCCGAAAAGTCATGGAGAGTCCTTAGAGAGATCCTGGAGATTGCTAAAGAGTTTCTAGAGAGTCCTTAGAGAGTTTTTGGTAAGTGCATCTTGGCTTTTGTCAAGTGCACCTTAACCTTTAGCAAGTGCACATTGGTCTTTGGCTTATTTGATTAGTCATTTAGTTCCTTGATTATCTTGTATCTTTGGAGACTGGCTTGCAAAAAAGAAAAAAAAAATTAGAAATGCATTATGTTAATTACAAGACAATCATTTCAATATTTTTATTGTTATGGAGAAGTTAGTGGCTTGCAAGGAAATTCCAGACAAGTACCAAAACAAGAACTAGTATAGTTTAATGATAACGAGTCTTCAAAGGGCAAATCTGATGGGGCGAGTGTGATCGATGCCAGAGATCGCTTCCACTTTTTTTTTCTTTCATCTTGTTTGTTAGAGGAGGATAAATTGTTTATACTTAAAAACAAAATATTTTAGTTATGCTTGTTTTTGTTTATTCCCTCGTTTTTAAAACTACTATGCTGTTGAGACGAGTAATCCGGTCTAGGCTATTGAGCTAAAAGATCATGTTGAATGCTTGCATGCATGAATAATGATATCACTCCCAAGTATTTTTTTGGCTTTTTCTTTTTTGTACACCCTTATAGAAGTTGTTGCCTTGGATGAGTCTTACATTTCGCTAGGTTTTTAATCCTCACGGGGGTAACCATTTTATTTTTGCCAACCAAAATGAACTCATGTGCTATTCAATATGAATTTTACTGCTAAGAGAGGAGTCAGATTTTATGCCTAGATTTTTTTTACAAACGATATAAAAGGAATTAATACGCAATGCTTGAGGTTTGCCTAATTAATAGGATCATTGTTTTATTGATTTGAGTTTATTCCTGAAAGCAAGAGGTGAGTAAGTGCTTAAATATAAATGTCGATTTGACTATACATATACTTTTTTAGAAAAACAAGTGATTCATTTCTTTTAGGTTTATTTGATATATCTTTTCCGTCGAGAGGATATTGAGATTAAAAATAAAAAAGATGACTTTGCTAAGTGTAGGCTAATCGTCTACCTTGAGGCCTTAAATCTCTTATGGGGAGGAGTCTTGCCACTTTTAGGGTTGACCATTCGTTGATTTTACTTTGATTACTATACACAAGTTAGTCTAGCTTTCTTATGTTTACCCGAATGCTCTCCTTTTAGAAAATAAGTTCCCCCAATGTTGATCTAGATAATTGATGTGTCAACTCTCTAACTTGATGTTGGTTGACCTTAAGTCTAAAAGTTAATTACTAAGTTTTTAGACTCAATTCCTTTGAAATTTTTCTCATGCCTTTTTTTTTTCTTTTATTTGTTATTTTTATTTTTTTATAAAAATAAATTTTAAAGAGAGAAAAGAGCTCACCAAATTCTCTGAGTTTGACTTTGCTGAGTTTTTAAACTCTCTTTTTAATGACTACAACTCTTGGATGAGTTGAACTCTTCTTTGGATGAATTCAATTTTTAGATGAGTTGAACTCTCCTTTAAACGACTTCAATTTTTGGATGAGTTGAACTTTTTTTCCAAACTACCACAATTTTTGGATCAATTGAACTTTTCTTTGGATATCTTCAATTTTTGGGTGAGTTGAACTCTCCCTTGGACAACTTTAATTTTTGAGTGAGCTAAACTCTCCCTTTGACGACTTCAAATCTGAGATGAGTTGACTATGAGGGATTAGCTCTATGAGTCCTTGTTGAATTATGATGGGGAGTTTCCAGAGTATTTACAAATTGCGTGGAATACTTGCTTGTTGTGACAATGTTTTGATATTTCATATTCATTGGTGCCTCTCTATTTGGATGCTTTGCTTCTCATACTACTTGGTTTCTAGTTCATAGCTTCAATTCATTCTCCCTACATCTTTCAAAACGTTGGATTTAGATCTGTTAATAATGACGCCGAAATCATACTTGCAAGACTCATGAGGTTTAAGCAAGGAAAAGAGAGAAAAGAGAGAAGAAGAAGAAAAAAAGGAGAATTTTAAAGTGAGAAGCTTTGATATTTTATATCCAACACAAAATACCTAGGTATATATCCCCCTCCGAAAGAAAAAAATTGGCTCTTTGACCTTGCATTTATGCGGTTTCGAGCACTATAGAAAAAGCTATACACAGAATAAGACAAATATTCAATTACAAGAGAAGTATATCCCAAACAATATGTATCCAAGAAATACAAAAATACATCCAAACTATTGACACATGAGCAGTTACTAGTCGGAGTCTACATCTTGTTGGTTGAAGTTGCCGACTTGTCGAGTGAAAATGCGAACTTGCTCGGAGAAGTCATTGATTGGTGGAGAATAGTGTGGGTGGGTGGCTTCTGGCTTAGGTGCGTTGGCTTAGTAGAGCCTTTGGCAGGAAATGCTTTGAAGAGATCATGAGTCTAGTGGGTTTATTATGAACCTTACGAGTTCATAGTAAACTTGGTTAGTCCTAGAGAGTCTTGGAGGGTCCCTGTAGAGTTCTTGGAGAGTGCTGGAGAGACTTGATGAGTTTTTGGAGTCTCTAAAGATTTCCTGGTGAGCGCACCTTGGCTTTTAATGAGTGCACTTTGGCCTTTAACAAATGAACCTTAGCTTTTGGTGTGTACCTGAGCTGCATCTATTATGTCAATCATTAATTGGTGTGTACCTGCCAGTGGGACTTACTGGTAAAGTCAATTTCTTATGAATTATGCCAAAACCAAACAATCAAGATGTAATTGTGTGGCAAAGAAAAATTTCCTTTATACAATCAAATACATGCTATAAATCTGCTTTTGATTACCTTTTCCTTAAAAATAGTAAATGCCTTGACCTTGAAGTTAGAGAGCACAACTTTCTTTCTTGAACTCATTAGGATTTTGCACATTTCATGTCTTCATATTGATCATGACAAGCAAAGAGATGTTCCTGAATTGACTCAATTAGTTAAATTTTATGCAGCATGCGGAGGAGGAAAAAGTTGGTGATGTTAGTAAATGTGTTGATGGAGAAGAGATTATTTTCCAGCCCAAGGAAGCTGCAGATAAAGAAGAGGCAGAAAACAGCAAAGAAGTAGGCTCGACAGGGATGGCATCTACCGCTAGTTTCTCAGAAGAGAATCTTGAACCTGATGATCTTTCTGTTTCCGATATAACCAAGAAGGAAGAACAGCATGAAAAGGTTGGGGAGGTGGAGAATTCTCCCCAGAATTCTGAGGTTTCTAATTCTTCAGAACCAGTAGTTGACATAGATGAAGCAACCTTGCAAAGCGAAGCTGACGATGTTCATGAAAAGCCAAGTGAAGTGCAAGAAAAATCTAGTGATTTTATTGAGACATCCGCATTCCAAGAACCAGTGATTTCAGAGTCCAAATCAGAAGATTTGAAAGATATTGAAAGCAAGCCAACATTTGAGAATGAAAGAAAATCAGAGGAAGCACCTTTGGTTTCTACTGGTGTGGATATTTCTAAAGATGGAAATATTGTGGCTGAGACACAAGAAGCAGCTAATCCAGCGTTCTCAACGGACAAAACCGGTATTGAATTGATTGGATCAGAAGATTCAAATGATGAAATTCATGTGTTAGTTCTTGCTGAAATTCCAACTGTGTTTGTTCCTGATTCTTCTGAAACACCAGAAAAAAATGTTGATTCGACTAATCTTGCTAGTATTGAGGTACCTGTGAAAGATCTAGAAGCCGTATCTGGCTCTCCTGAAGAACAGAAATCAAAAGAGAGTACAGAAATTCAAGAGCCAATTTCAAATGTGAGCATAAATGATGCTGGAGATGAAGTTGTTGGATCCTCTTCATATGAAGTGAAGCCTACCGGAGTTTCAGAAGTGGTTGAAAACAAGGATGGTGGCTTGGAAGCGGAGACTTCTCAGCCTTCTTTCAAAATTCAAGAGGATCTTGAAGCTAATTATAAGCTAGCTCAAACTGAATCTGATGAAAATGTTTCCCAAGGAGTCGAAGTCAAGAAAGCTGATGAGATTGTTGAAGGTGGCATAGAGACATCCACTGTTCCTGATGACGTTCCTCCACTTGCTATAGTTTCATCTGAAGAGGAAAAAGCTTCTGAGCCTGGTGTTGTGGTTGAGGAGGGAGAGTCTTCTTTGGAAAGCGATAACATTGACGCTGTTCCTAAAGTGGCTGAAATTTCATTGGAAGGCGGAAATGTAGTGGAAGAAGATGAATTGGTTGATAAGGAGAAAATTGTGACTTCGGATGCTGTACAGAGAGACTTGGTTGATTCAATTACAAATCCTATAGAAGCAAAAGTTTCTTCTGATCAAGTAAGGACTCCTATAACTGAGAATGTAAATGAAGATCTGGAAGTGACATCCAAGGAACTCAATATTGACCCTGTTGCTAGTGAAGCCTTTTCTGAGGGTGATCAAATTCCTGCAGGTGAGGAGAAGAGTGACAGCTTGAAAGGTGAAGTTGCAACTTCAGTGGAGACACCAAATGATATCACCACCCCAGAAGAAGAACCACTTGATCAACTGATTGAGGAGAAGAAGAGTGAGAGTTTAGTAAGTGAAACACATTCTTCTTCTGAGGATAAATTGCTTGATGAGGAGAAAGATGCAAATGAAGAGGCTAAAGATATAAACTTGCAAAGCGAAGATAATGGTGCTGATCAAATCCCAAGTGTTGTGCAAAGTGATTTTGCTGAGAAATCTGCATCCCAAGAACCTGCATTTTCAAAATCCAAAATAGAAGATTTGAAAGATATTGAAATCAAGCCTACAACTGAGAATGAAAGAAAACCAGAGGAAGCACATTTAATTTCTACTGATGTGGGGATTTCTGAAGGTGGAAACGTTGAGGCCGAGGCGCAGGATACAACTAATTTAGAGTTATCAAAGGACAAAGTTGACATCGAATTGATTAAGCTAGAACATTCAAAGGATGAAATTCAGGTTCCCATTGAAATTCCTACTGTACTTGTTCACGATACTTATGAAGCGGCAGAAAAAAATGACATTGATTCAAGTAGGCTTACCAGTATAGAGATACCTGTGAAAAATCTAGAAGTTGAATATGGCTCTCCTGAAGAACAGAAATCAAATGTGAGTACAGAAACTAAAGAGCCAAGTTTAGATGTTGGTGTACTTGATGCTGAAGGTGAAGTTGGTGTACTTGATACTGAAGGTGAAGTTGTTAGATCATCTTTCTATGAAGAGAAGCCTTCAGGAGTTGCAGAAGTGATTGAGAAAAAGAATAATGGCTTGGAAGGGGAGAAAAATCATTCTTCAGTCGAAATTCACAAAGATCTTGAAGCTAAATCAGAATTAGCTGAAACTCAATCAGATGAAAATGTTTCTGAAGGAGTTAAAATTAAGAAATATGATGAAATTGTTGGAGGCATAGAGATATCCACCGTTCCTGATGATATTCCTATACCTTCTGAAGTTTCATATAAAGAGGAAAAAGCTTCTGAACCTGCGGTAGTGTTTAAAAAGGAGGAAGAGACTTCTTTGGAAGATGATAACATTGGTACTGCGTCTGAAGTTGCTGAAGTTTCATTGGAAGGTGGAAATAATTTGGAAGGGGATAAATTGGTTGACAAGGAAGAAGTAAATGCTGATGCTGTAGAGAGAGACTTGTTTAATACAATTATAGATCCTGCAAAAGCGAAACTCTCTTCTGATCAAGTAAAAGCCCATGCAACTACTGAGAGTGAAAATGAAGCTCTGGAGTTGACATCCAAGGAAGTCAATATTGCTCCTGAAGCTAGTGATGTTCCTTCTGAAGATGATAAAATGTCTACAGGCGATGAGAAGAGTGAAGGCTTGAAAGGTGAAACTTCAACATCAATGGAGGCACCAAATAGTATCATCACTGTAGAAGAACCACTTGATCAAGTGATTGAGGAGAATAAGAGTGAGAGTTCAATAAATGATACACAACCTCCTTCTGAGGATAAACTGTTCGACTTGGAAAAAGATGTGAATGAAGAAGACAAAGAAATAAACTTGCAAAGCCGAGCTGACGGTGCTGATCAAAACCTAAGTGTTGTGCAAAGTGATTTCGCTGAGACATCCACATCCCAAGAACCTGTGTTTTTAGAATCCAAAAATGAAGATTTGAAAGATACTGAAACCCAACCAACATCTGAGAATGAAAGAAGAGTAGTGGAAGCACCTTTGACTTCTACCGGTATGGATACTTCTAAAGATGGAAATCTTGAGGCTAAGTCACAAGAAGCTGCTAATTCAGAGTTCTCGAAGGACAAAGTTGGCATGGAACTGATTAAGTCAGAAGATTCAAAGGAAGAAATTCAGGTGTTAGTTCCCCATGAAATTCCCACTGTAGTTGCTCCTGATGCTTTTGAAGCACCAGAAAAAAATGATGTTGACTCAACTTATCCTACAAGTATAGAGGTACCTGTGAAAGATTTAGAGGTTGAATTTGGCTCTCCAGAAGAACAGAAACCAAAAGAGAGTACAGAAACTAAAGAGCCAAGTTCAAGTGCGAGTACAATTGACGCTGGAGGTGAAATTGTTGGATCTTCCTATGAAGCCAAGACTTCAGGAAATGCAGTAGTTGAGAGAGAGGATGATGGCTTGGAAATTCATGAGAATCCAGAAGCTAATCCTGAATTAGCTCAAACTCAATCTGATGAAAATGTTTCCGAGGGAGTTGAAGGCAAGAAGGATGATGAGATTGTTGAAGGCGCCATAGAGACATCCAATGTTCCTGATGATGTTCCTTCACTTGCTAAAGTGTCATATGAAGAGGAAAAAGCTGTTGAGCCTGGTATAGTGGTTGAGGAGGACAAAACTTCTTTGGAAGGTGATTACACTGGTAGTGTGGCTGACGTTTCATTGAAAGGTGCAAATGTTTTGAAAGGGGATAAATTGGTTGACAAGGAGAAAGTTGTGAATTCTGATGCTGTAGAAACGGACTTGGTTGGTACATTTACAGATCCCACAGATGCAGAGGTCTCTTCTGATCAAGTAAAAGCTCCTACAACTACTGAGATTGTAAAGGAGGAGAGCAATGAGGGAGCTCTAAAAATGACATCCAAGGAACTTAATATTGCTCCTGAATCTAGTGAATTCCCTTCTGAGGTTGATGCATTTTCTGCGGGTAATGAGGAGAAGAGTGAAAGCTTGATAGTTGGAGATGCAACTTCAGTGGAGGTACCAAAAGATATCATCGTCATAAAAGAGTCTCTTGATCAATTGGTTGAGGAGAAGAAGAGTGAGACTTTAGCAAGTGAGATGGCAGCTCAGACCGAGGATAAATTTGTTGACGAGGAGACAAATGTGAATTTAAAGAATGAAGTGAGAGAATTGATTAATACATCCAGTGATGCTACTGCAGCTGAAGTTTCTTCTGAGAAAGTAAAGGCCCCTGAGCTTGTTGAGGAGGAGAGCAATAAGCAAGCTCTGGAAGAGACGGCTAAGGACCTCAATATTGCTCCAGAAGCTAGTGAAGTCACTTATGAGGATGATAAACTTTTTGCAGTTGAGGAGAAGAGTGAAAGCTTGAAAGGTGAAGCTGCAACTTCAGTGGAGGCACCAGAAGATATCATCACCATCAAAGAGTCGCGTGATCAAGCGATCGAGGAGGAAAAAAGTGAGAGGGAAGCTCCAGCTGAGGATAAATTGGTCGACAAGGAGAAAAAAGTGAATGAAAAAGCTGAAGAGAGAGGCTTGGTTGATACATTCATAGATCCTACTGCAGCTGAGGTCTCTTCTGATCAAACAAAAGCTTATGAAACTGTTGATATTATGAAGGAAGAGAGCAATGAGCAAGCTTTGGAAGTGAAGTCCAAGGAACTCAATATTGCTTCTGAAGCTACTGAAGTCTCTCTTGTTGGTGATGAAGTTTCTGAAGGTGATGAAGTGAAGAGGGAAAGCTCGAAAGGTGAAGATGCAACCTTAGTGGAGGCACCAAAAAATATTAAAATTGCAGAAGACACGCCTGACCAAGTGATTATGCAGAAGAAGAGCGAGGGTTCAAAAAGTTTGATGGAAGCTCTGGCGGAGGATAAGTTGGTTGACAAGGAGAAAGATATAAATGCAGAGGCTGAAAAGGCAGAATCAGTTGATATACCCACAGATCCTTCTGCTGCTGAAGTCTTTTCTGAGCAAGTAAAAGTTAAGGAAGCTCCGGAATTAGCATCCAAAGAACTCAATATTGTTCCTGAAGCAAGTGAAGTTCCTTCCGAGGGTGATAAAGTTTCTTTAGGTGAAGGGGAGCAGAGTAAAAGCTTGAAAGGTGAAGATGCAGCTTCATTGGAGGCACAGAAAGATATCACCACTCAAGAAAAGTCAGTTGATCAACTAATTGAGGAGAACAAGAGTGAGAGTTCAAAAAATAAGATAGAAGCTCCAATTGAGACGACTAGAGATTTTGATGCTTCTTTGCTCCTTCCTAAGGCAGTGAAAGACATTATAGCATCAGAAGCAGTTCAGGAGAAGCAACATGAGACCTCAAATGATCTCAGTCTGAAGGAAAAGAAAGCTAACGACTCTGAGTATAAAAAGGAGGAAGTGAAAGTTGAGGAACCTTTACAGCATGCGACCGACAAACCTGGGCAAGCAGAGTTGAGAACTGAAAAGGCAGAGAGTGAGAAATCTAAGGATGAAAAGCCAATTGTATCTTCTGATACTGTGGATGCAAAACTGACTAAAGAGGTGACTAAGCGCGAATCAAACATATTCTCTAAGGTAAAGCGCTCAATTGTGAAAGCAAAGAAAGCTATCCTCGGGAAGTCACCAGGTACAAAGACTCTGTCATCAGAAGCAAAAGATGAGAACATCTAAAAAGCTTGGCGATTTAAATTTATATGAATTGCATGTCTCCGTTGTGTCATATATATTGTAAAGATTTTTGGATCTCTTCTTTGTAGGTGTGAAATTATTTAGGTTTGTTTATTGTGTTCTTGTTGTTTTTGTTCAGTTGATGGTACTTCTATATTTGATTGTTTGATGTTCTGGATCAGTTCAGACATTCTTTTGTTGATTATGTAGGTTTGTATCAGAATTTGCTTGATATTTGAAGCTCTGTTTGAGAATGTTGCACATGGACAGTTTAACTTCTTGAATTTGAAATACATTGAAATTTTCTGCATCACTAAAATTACTACTTATCTATGAACTTGCTTTGCCATCAAAATACATAAAATACTACACCTAATGCATCAAAGGCAGCAATAGTAATGTTAATAAGGATATATTGGTGGTTGATCTGGTTCTAAAGTTATCAAAAAAAAGGAAAATTTAGATGTCATTAGAATGATCATTATATAAATGATTGTCAAAGTACGAATTTATATATTGATGTTGGTGATAAAAATGATAGGAAAATTAATGAATATTTATTACTTTGATCAATAAATAAATGATTTAGAAGATGCTTAATGGATTTAAACAAGTTAGTGATCTCTATGTTAGAAATCAGTTAAAGCAGAGGTAAAATCTAGATACTCTTTGAATTCTGGTGCAAACCATTTTGAGAATTCTGATTAATGAAGCACTTTCTTGAATATTCATTATGGAGTAGAAAAATTTGCCGTTTACATCATGAACATTCTATATTAGTTCAAGATTGAAATTTTTATAAAGATCTTAATTAAATTAATGAAAGACAAACTAGATGACCACTATAGCCCGTATAGCTTCCTTTGAACATCCAGTTTTAGCATTTCATCATTTAGGCTTTGTTTGGGACAATTTTCGTGCGACTTTATTATGCTACGGTAGAGAAAACTTTTTAAAGTTGTTGTAGAAAATAACTTTCTAGTGTTGATACATCACAAAAAATTGCATTGATCGGACAAAAATTTTGAGGCATATCCAAGTTGGAAATTTCTAAAATTAAATTCGGGATCTATCAAATACCAATTTCAGCAAACTTACAGTCAAATTGAATGTCTCGAAGAGACAAACCCATCAACACCAAAATCGGTCCTATGTGAGCTCAAATGAGTCCAAATCGGAGGGGAAGAAGCATATTTGGAAGGTTCAAATCATTAATTATGGCATGTGTATAATTGAATCGAGTGTCTCGACGAGACAAATCCACGAGCCCAAGATTGCTCAGGTTAGACATCATTTGGACACCTAAATGCTTGACAAACAATGAGACTTCAAGATCTCTAGCACCACCACTGACGAACCTTCATCGACTGTTGTCGGACCATCACCCGGCCTCCGACAGCTGCCTAAATTCAGCCCGACCATCGTCGAACATTGCCCGGCCATAGGCCGCCACCGGACTTCCGCTCGACCACAGTTGGACTGTTGTGCGGTCGCCGATCGCCGACCACTGTCGCCCGCTGACTACGGTCCCTTTGACCTCCGTCGCCCGCCAACTATGATCCCTCCGACCTCTGTCACCCAATGATTATGGTCCCGTTGACCACTGGTTCTCGTTGATTGTGGTCCCTTCGACCTCAGTCGCTTGCCGACTATAGTCCCTTTGACCACCGTCACCCACTGATTACGGTCCCTTCCGACCTTCATTGCTCACCGACTATGACCCCTTCGATTACCGTCACCAGTCGATTAAGGTCCCTCTGACCTTCGTTACCTGCCTACTACGTTCCTGTCGATCTCAATCGCCCGCTGACTACGGTCCCTTCGACCTCAGTTGTCTGCCGACTGTGGTCCTTCTGACCTTCATCGCCCACCGACTACGGGCTACGGCCTACTTTGACCACGGTCGCCGCCAATCATGGTCCCTCTAACCTCCATCGCCGGCCGACTATAACCCCTTCAACCTCAATCACCCGCAAACTACAATCCTTGCGACCTTCGTTGCTTGCAGAATATGGTCCCTCCGACCTCCCTTTCCCACCGATTGTCATCATTGTCGCCCGCCTTTGTTGCCCGATGATCACAGTCTCTCCGACCATCGTCGCTTGGTGACTACGGTCCATTCGACCACCGTTTCTCGACTACGGTCCGACTGACCAAACGAACAAGCCAATACTCCGTTAAGAACTACTCTCATTGTTGCGGGCTAGAATATACGCGGTGATAGAGTTATAATTCTACGTCTTAACATTGCACGAATATCCAGCTCACACACAGAGAACACAATATTTTTTACGTGGAAAACCCGGGAAAAGGGAAAAACCACGGGGCCTAGCCCAGTTAAAATGATTCCACTAGAATTTGAGAAAAGTACAATGGTCTGACTCGTCCTTGAAGGCGACTAGATTATAAGTATCAACTAAGAGTTTTGCAAGAGT